TAAATGATACCAAATGCTGAAATGAATTCAGTTCACCTTTGTCAGTGGAAAGGGTAGGAGAGGTGCTGCCAGATCCATCTTTTGAATGGCCTTTGAGTTTGTACTGCCCACAAGGTCTGCTGACCCTTTCTGAGAGCGGACCGCTGTCCTCTGGGTATTTACGCAGCAGTCGATTTGACAGGACAGGTGAGTTATTGTCGTACGGAGATACCTCTCCGCTGGATGCTTTGAGGGAGTCACTGGACAAACATCTCTCAGTCAGAGAGAAGGACTCTTCTGGTCTAAGAAGGCCTGACTCTCTGCAGAAACAAACAACTAAATGAAGCAACCTCCTGCTGTTATAAGCACCAGGCATATGCATACCTTATGTATACGCACATACACATGTTTATATGTTTTGCAAAAAGCACACAAGAACATATGACTAATCATGAGACATAATGTGAGGCAGGAAACTCACGAGCATTGAGAGGCCTTCCTCCGCAGCAGATAATCCACAACATCTGGATCGGTTTCTAGCAAACTCATCAGCACCTCATTCTGCAGGTCAGCAGGAACCTAGAAGAACCAAAGGTCTGTTTTACTGCAGCTCATAATAAGAGGCAACAGATGTAAAGTTGTTACCTTACTTTCCCTGTTCCTTAATCGTGAATCACATTAAAACTAAACAGTAAATACACTTTTCCATATTGTATTGAATACAAACAATGTCATTATAACAACAGCAGCTTTATTTTTTTTTTATTACTTTAACATTTATTATTCTTTTACATCAACAAGTCTGCATCTCCAATATTTACACCGTACCTGTGGTGCAGTGTGCGCCATGGCAGATGTTTGTATGGCATAATGAGAAAATAATTAACAGCAGTTTTCGAAATTGTTATTAATGATGCAGAGAAAATGTCTTTTTTGCCCTCTGATTTCCTTAACGGATAATTTCCAGATACTTAATTAAGTGCATCTGCTTTTAAGTTTCTGGTGAAAAGCTAAAAAACACAATGCAGATGAGGATCCTGCCCTGTTGTCTATAAACAAAAGTGAGGCTGGAATGACACTCATTGACCCTTTGTGTGAGGCTTCTTATCTGTTGTGCGCTGAAAAGACTATCTTAGTTCTACAAGGTCCAAGAGAGGAAAAACAAATTACTTATGACTATAAAAGCTTAGTCCTCCTCAAAAGCGATGGAGTTAATGTTTACATTTCATTAAGTGCCTCCACTCCATTGAGCTTAAGAACTCCCCATAAACACTCTTTTACCCCCTCAAGGAAAATCTGACTTCGACCATGAGATTGTCTGATCAAACCCTCTGTTGTCTTTAACTGATCCAAATGCTTTTCAGTTTGCAGTGAGGTCCGACTTACCATAAATAGCGTGTCATATGCATTGATCATCCTTTGGACCACGCCGATGATGGCCGTGCTCTCCTCTGCACGGGCAAAACTCTCAACTGCAAACTCTTTGTCGGAGTTTTTTTGCTTGTGTAAGAGGTTGGGTCCAAAGACGGTGGCTAAATTGAGCGCCGTCATCTTGTTACCTGTGATCTAAACAAAACAGAGCATCTGTATGTCTTAACAGTTTACAGAACACACACATTTTTCACCTCATCTTTTCAGCAGTTTTACTAACAACCCCCCCAGGATTACACCTAATGAATTGGACATTACCCAAATTTGACCCCTGCCGGTACAAGAAATGTTTTGCAGTCTCATATAATTTGTATGAAAAGGCAGGTCTTTTGCTGTTGACAGATCCTCCTTGGTGCCCAGGAAATGCTGGGAATGTGCACCTACCACAGGCCTGCCACCATCAATAAGGCTGGCTCTGCCTCCTTTTGTTCAAAGAAACTCGGCAGACCTCTTGTTCACAGTTTCAGTATGTATGCTCTAGGACCACAGCCAAGAGTAAACCCGTTTTATATCCGTGGGAAGAAAGAAAAAAAACTCTCCATTGTGATAATTAGTAGCGAAAAAGCTGATAATTGCAACATTAAGGGACTATGGGCCCCGGTTTAACAGCAAAAGGTCAGGATGTGCACAAGGACAGTGAGTTCATTTCCAAACACATGCACCTAAATCCATGTTTCTTGTGTAAAAGCACCGGGAGAAAGAGAATATAAAAACGTGGGTAGGACGATTAATCATTATATTCTCAGCCCATCACATTACCCATCTTAAATTTAACAGCCCGCTATTCCAAACAAACTGGTGCATAACAAGATTCCAGGCTGGCTTTATAGTGTACGGTAAAATAATATTATCTGGTAGGTGCAGAGTGACGCAAACATGTAGGTGCTGAGATAAATGGTGTTTGCAGAATGTATATGTCACAGCTTCCCATAGGTTCTGTGCTTTAAAATAAATAAATAGCAAATTAGGACAGTGCAGAATAATGTTTGCAGATGGTGTTTGTGTGCTTATTATGCAGCAGGGTGATATTGGTTGTGAATCCTTTAATGAATATAACCATAATGAATCATCATGCATAATGGTGCTGTGTTTTGGCACGGCGCTTTCTTCAAATTAGAGACTGCAGATGTAACATGCATCTGCCCAACTGCCTTCTGATAGTTGTTGTGATTCATAACGATCACATTAAATTTGTAAAACAGTTAATCTAAGATATGCGGCATTATTCTCTGATGGCTGCTCATTTCTTAAATATATGTTTTGTTCTCGCTGGCAGAATCAACAAGTTAACAAATGTGCGACATGCCGCGGTCGGTGGAAGTTAAATCCTGAAGCAAAATCTCAACCGAAGACCCAATTATGACCGAAATAATGACACCTTATCTCGTGCTACCTCATGTGTGGAGAAGTCTCATGATTTTTTTTTTTAGATTGATAAATAAGCAAGAGCTGCTTGGACCCATTTTTACACAAACATTAAAACAGGGCTTGTACACTTTCTTTACCTCCTGTCCCTCATTGTCCAGGCTGTCTTCAGCATGTGCACACACAGTGGACAACAAGCAGAGGAGGCGCTGCAGCGTGTCGCTGTTACAGGGAGGAAGCAAATATATCAGGAGCTGGAGGGCACTTTCTTGGTCTGAATAATCCAGCACTGCAGAAAGAGAAGTCCAGTTAAAGTCAGTTATAAAGAAATCCAAAGCTAACACAAGAATTCACCCAGTGACGACAAAAAAAAGGTGATTGTGTTTATTCGGTATGTCTGTGCTCCTCACACATTGTGTTGATGAAGGCTGTGTACAGATCTCTGGTCAGGAGTGACTCAGGCATGTCTCTGAGGAATTCTTTCAGCAGTGCAGCTACATCGTGGACGCTGTGCTCCTCATCCATGTGCACCTCCCATCCCTGGTCGAATTCCTCACGAAGCTGGAGGAAATTTTGTGACAAATAATACCATGTGAATGCAGCTCACAGGTGAGGCAGTTCGTTAATACGCAGCGGTGAGACAAGCAGGTGAGGTCTTACCTGTCGTACTCTCTTCTTGGAACTCCCAACGCGGAAAATTCCAACTGTCTGCAGGCCTAAACAAAGACAGAGAGCTAATATTGTGGCTAATATTCAACCTCAAAGTCATCCAAATTGTATGAGTCATAAGTTTATTACTACAAAGTGTCCACAGGGATATGCTGCACATTTTCTCTGCACTGTGCTTCTGTAGTTTTACTTTTGAACTTGGTACCGTATTTTTCCAGGTGCTGGCAGCAAAGGTCCACTATTCTGGGCACTTGTCGGTAAATAGGGTTGAGGCTGAGCTTTTTATCGTGGTGCTTCTTCCTGTTTCCAGCTGCCTCTTCTGGCAGAGACAGCTGGAGGGCCTCCAAGAGCCGAGACTGGTTATCATCAAGGTCAGTGATGCAATCCACAGACACCCCGCCCTGTCAAGCAGACGGGTGACAACCATATAGTGAGTGGAAAAGCAGCCGAGTATGTACTGTGAGTGATAAAATGTGCTGCAGTTATTAAATGGCAGCAACCCACAGAGAGAATATCTAAAAAGGTCACAAATTCCTAGAGAAATCCAGTGTGCAAGTGTAATCAGGCAGATTTCCCTGTTGTGTTCCATCCATGTACCACATTTATTGACATGAAAGCCTACCCTCCTGCGCGTCCGCGGGGCTGTGTCTGGTGTGCTGGGCAGAGGTGACTCATTAGGGGTTTCAGAAGTGGAGCTCAGAGACGAGTTACTGCTGGAAAGCTCTTTGTTAACCCTTTTGAAGCTCGAGTTCAGATGAAGGAAGGATAGCATCAATTCTGTGGGGTCACTGTGCTCCTCCCGCGGGTGATCGTGCCGCAGCTTGTGCACGCGGTCGTTGGATATGACATGCGACAGCGGTATGCCAAACGCCTGTGGCGTAGTCTCTGTTTGGGGGAGAAGAGCAAGAGCAGAGAGACTTAAAGTTCACAGTTAGCTCCAAGTCAACTGAGAGATCCTGAATTACTCTTTAGATGTGTCAGTCATGTCAGCGTATTTTCTATTATACCCTTCGGAATATTTTCTGTAGAAAGTGTCGGAAACTGTGCTGTAATAGATTCATTCAGTATATTCTAACCTGAACTTTTAAATAAATCCTGCTCAAAATAAATATGACAAGAGAAATGGCAAGAACTGCGGTGCCGCGGCGCACACTTAATATTCAGAGTAGAGAGCACATACTTTCCCAAGTGCCTTTGTAAACAAAAGGGTAAAAAGAGGAAAAAGGGGGCTGGGTATGCCGGAGGATAGGCTGTAACGAATGAGCCACCACTTAAGATTGTTTTGGTTATTTCCCTCGACTGCCTGTCTGACAGAGAACATCACTTTCCTGCCAGATTGTTGCAGCGGGCGGGGCAGCGCGGCGGTTGAAGATCACAGCTTCCTCTGTACTGTAAGATTCTGATCACTCAGTGCTCCGTGGGTATAAACAGCTGAGAGTGACTGCTTCAGTGCGCCGCTACAGCTTCAGCCAAAAGGAGAAAAGAGTATATTTTATATTGTAAGAGGCTGACAAGGCTCGAAACAGGAGGGGAATAAAAGTCTGACAAGACTCAGTAGCTCTCCTACAGGCCTAAAAGATAGCTGTGTTTATCTTCACTGGTTCGAAAATTGCTGGAAAGCACTGAAGTTCCCTCGATACTGCTATCACATCGCGTCGTAATGGGAAACTAAAATGTGCCTAATAAATGGCAAACGGTGCAATTTAACATATCGTATATGGCTGCAATTTAGACTATATCCTGAGCCACATTACCTTTGTCCTTACTCTTCTCCTTAGATAATGAATCCAGCTTCCTCCTAAGTGACTTCTTGTGCTTGTGGCCATCTGAAAAGAGTCACAGTAAAATGAAGAAACCTAGTTATTATGCTCATGTTCGTGCTTGCTCCACTTGATATTCTCAGCCTCATTTCCCAAATGGTTACACAATTCAAAAGAACAATGACAGATTGTGCAGAAAGTGTCAAAACAATGATGTGGAGAGTGACTCTTAATTCCTAACCCTTACACAGGAGAACGCCCTTTTCTGGAGACAGTGACAACACACTTTATATTAATGACATTCTCAAAATGTGAGCCCTGCAAGGATGTTAGTTAAATCAGGATGAGAAATCTGTAGAAAACTGTGATGATTCAGCCCATTACGGGTGAAACTTCATTAAATCAGTCAAGAAGCAAGAGCTTATGAAGACTGTACAAAGAAGGAGAGACTTTTCCTGTCTGCTGTTCTGCATATGAATGATAAGAAATGCTGTGTCAAGCTTTTGCCAAGATAGCAACTTAGTGGACAAGAAGATGTCTGCTGAAGTGTGTGCAGTTATGTGTGTGTGTGTGTCTATGTCAATACATTTAGGAATGCTGATGTGGCAGCCCAGGTCTTGACCCCGAAGTAATCGCCTGAAGGCCACATCCCGGAGACGCACCCTCTCCAACTCCGAGAGGCTTTGCAAGGGGACGGGCTTCAGGCCAACGCTACGCCCTGACACGCTGTTCCAGGTGAAGTCACCCTGAGGAGACACACACACACACACACGTAGGTATTCACGAAACACATCAGACACGTCCATAATTGGTGTCACATTTCACTTTCATGACCTGTCACGCTCTCTACGTGACTCCAGAGTGCATGAACTGACAGAAATTTCTGCTTCACTTGCCGGCTGAAAAGGACAACTGCTTCCCATGACAGATACTGACAGCTTACTCTTTAAAAGTTTGTTATGTGCAAATAGTTTGAACTTCTTGATGTTAGCATGCTGAATTTGTAGTAAAAGAAACAAGTGTATTGTGACATGCTGACATTAGTGATATCCTCTGGTTGAACTTATGTCCCAGTGAGACACATTTTTTAAAAGTATTTTGCACAAAGCTGATTTGAACCAGTTGTTGTACCACAAATAGTGAATCAGAATACCGATTGTTAAGATTATCCTTCTTTACAAGTAGCATAAAGATTATTAATAATGCACACACACATCATAAGCCCTGCGTCATCTTAATTCTATCCCTCCTCTCCTTAATAGTGGATGATGATGCATCTAATTTTCCTCCATATTCCACTGATGATTTTTTGAATAATCTATCGTGAAAATAAATCAAAAACCATTTCACAGAAATATGTTATTAATAACATTCTGAAGGTTCAGTACTATAGTAATGACGGGGCAAATAATCTGATCTGAAATCCTCAACCTTTGAGCATCTCCATGCTGGAGATTACAGTGCTTTGATCCAGTACAGTCAAGCCAATCATATGAGCCATGTTCCAAAGAGGCTTAGTAACTCATTATCAGGATAAGGCTTACAGTAAAGTGCCTCACTCCCATTAAATGAGAATTAGGGCTGTGCTCAAGTAGCATACTATTCTCTAGTACTCATACAATACAATAAAGTGTAGTATAAACACACTGCACAAATTTTAGACATTTTTTTCTTTTTTACATCATGCAGTGTCGTCTGGGAGGCATCTGAAGGTTCATTCTCCAGCGTGATACTGACCACAGGCATACAGCAAAAGTCACAAAAACTATCTTCAGTCACAAGTAGAACAGAAGAGTCTTGACCCCGACATCGTCAAGGCAGTCTGGGATTATACGAAGAGACGGAAGCAATTTAGTGACGGAAGCAAACTGAGGCTTGACGCTCGATCAATCTAAGTACCTTCAAAAAAACTGCACAAATGCATCGAGGAGAAGTGAGAATCTTTTAGGGGCAAACATTGGTCACATCAAACATTGAGTAGTTTTTCGTTTACTATATTCTGTGCACTATGTATGACGCTAGATATATAGATAGATAGATAGATAGATAGATAGATAGATAGATAGATAGATAGATAGATAGATAGATAGATAGATAGATAGACTACATTTCAATCAACTATAAGGTCAAACTGATATATCTGATGATGATTTCCTAATAAACTGATCAAGAATTGTATGGCGGCAACTAAAATTACAATAAATATCAACCAATCTGCACATTTTTTTCAGATTCATTAATTAATCACTTACTCTATGAAGTGTTAAAAGTACAACTTTCTAATAGGAAATGTTAAATATCTTGTTTTGTTTGACTAAAAGTCCAGAATACAAGATATTTAACTTACAGTGATATATGACAAGGAAAGAGGCAAATCTTTTCATCCAAGAAACTGAAACTGAAAATGTTTTTCCTTAAAGAATTACTAAAATGATCATTTGACAAGCATAATAGTTTTTCTGTCAGAAAAAGAAAGCATAATATAAATCATTGGGCGTATAAAATGTCAAAAAAATCCACACTTTTGTGCACTTTTCATTATATCAAGCCACTTGTTTTGTCTGTTCAACAGTCTGAAACTAAAGATCCTCAATTTATCATCACATTAAGTAAGACAAAAGAAGGCAGGAAGCAATTTGGCAGCTACAACTACAGCGGGGAACATTTTTGCAAGACACATTCGTATTTTTTTTATTTTTTTTTTTACCAATAAGCAATAACACACTACGGGCTTGGAAAGAGGTTGGCAGCCTTTCTGAATTGTTGAATACTTAATAGTACTCCAGCTAACGGCCAATTATCTGCTACCGAGGCTGATGTGTTGCATGTTAGCTGTCTACACTTTACAAGGCTTTTCTGCACACTTATGTTTAGTACTTTTATAATAAACAGTGACAGAAACTGGTGCAGGTTTGGCAGATGGAGAACTAAACACAGTATAAGTATGTCACCGCTGCATGCCGTTGTCCTTTATGTATTTTCTGAATGGCAACAGACGACAAGGTCACATATGTACCTGGGGTTGACAGAAACAAGTGGCGGCGTTTTAAGTGCCACTCTTTGTGTAGCAACTATGAGAAATGATGTGCAGCGAGTGAGTCACGTTATCTACTCATTTTGTTCAGACATTCTTCCTGTGTGACTATCGTGGAGTGGAAACTTTCTCCGTATCTGATGCGAGGAAGAGCTGGGTTATTCCCACAGTTCCCGTCCGGCAGCGAAGTGACGACTTCAAATAATAGCCAATTACGCTCCTTGTGGAATTCCGAGTATTGGGTTTTTGATGCAATATCCCTTTAGCTTTCACATAATAATAGGGTTTAAGTGTGTCATGTCCAGGCATGTCATATCAATTGAGTGCAGTTTCAACTCAATATTTCTTCAGACTATGAATGGATTGCGAGGATTACGTTTTTGACAGGCACAATCCTTTTTCTAACAACCTTTTATATATATATATATTTTTTTTTTCAAATTTGTCACAGCGGATGGAAGTCAGAGCCAGACAGCTGTTCCCAGTTGTTACAGAAGCAGTCACTGTCAAAGCTGGATGAAGTTACTGCTTCAGTTTATTCTTAGAGTGAAAATAGCAGATTTGTCGAACCACAGTGAAATATAGACAAAAAAATTCTTGTCAAACCCGACACCAATATTAAAGATCTGTTGAGTTTTAAGGTAAAAATGTCCGTTTTAATCACATATTTGCATAATGTTGCTACAATAGCAACAGCCAAACATGCACTCCAGTTGAACTGATAATTCATCTACACCCCTCTCCTGTTGCAGCACTTGAATACAGGTGCACTTGGTCGAGCAGTAACCTAATTTTAATTCAAAGCTTTGCTGAAACACAATAGCGCTTCCTAGAATACAATGAAAGGAAACGTGCAAGGTAGTTCATACAATATAGCTAGATTGAAAGCTCAGATTACACTAATCAAGCACACTTGAGCGGGGTCCAGTGAGGTGATGAATATTCCTCAGCGCTCAGGAAGCCATTCAATGGGGCATTACAGGAAGGCTTTTCCACAAGAGCCCTTGTACTCCGTCCACACTATTTGCCTTAGAGTCCCAAAGTGAATTCTGCATTCGGTTTTAAATAAACTGCATTCACTGGCAGTGTCATTAAACAAAGGGCAAAAATACTAAAAGTCCTTGAAGGACTGAGCTCATAATAAGATACTAATGTTGACGCATGCTGTTAGTTGAAGAAGACGTATTTAAATCCTCGACTTAAGTACCATTATAGCGATGCAAAATCGCTCCATTACAGGTAAAAGCCCTGCATGAAGAAGAAAGTAAAAGTGCATTAGCATTAAAATGTAGTTAATGTATTAAAGCAAGAGTCCTATTTTGGTCCTGCTGACGTCATTAGATTATTACTACTTGAGTTTCAATTTAGAAACAGCATGTTCCCGTTGACGCTGCGGCAGGTGGAGCTGATTTGAACTACTTCGTACACAGTTATGTTTCACAACTTGAGGGGGGAAAAAAGTTCTGATACACAAATCTGTTTTCAGTTTTCTGACTTTTTCTCTAATTGGATAATTTCAACATTTCCTGAAATGAATCCATGTGAGACGTTTAGGAGGGGAGGAAAACATTATTGGTTTGAGCTGTTAACAACTCATCTGAACTGCGATCCCAACTACGTCAGAGGACAAAAAAATTGGAAAACTTGTTCCATTAGTCATCTTCTTACAAAAAAGTAATGCTGTAAAATAACTATAGAGGAGCAGAAAGTAATATTTACCCCCTGAAATGTAGTCGAATGAAAGTATAAAGCAGCGTCATTATTATGAGTAATATAACTTTACAACCTCAGAATAATTTCCATTATTATATATTGTAGTAATAATATATATTATATTGCCAGTGCTGTATTTCTCATTTTATATAGTTTCGTTTTCTGAGCAGTATCTTGCAAAAGAATTTCATTTGGGATTAATAAAGTTTCTGATCTTCAAATGATAATACTCAAATTTTAACTTGGGCACAGTACTTGAGTAAATATACTTAATTACTTTCCACAACTGCATACTGAGAGTGGAAAAAGCAGGTGCATGAGCTGAAATATCAGTGTGGATGAACATAGAGAAAGATTTGGTAGATTTCAATAAAATAACAAGTTATAAAAACTCTAATTTAAGACTTTTCAAAACTTTACTAACTTTTGTGAATTAACTTCATTATATCCCTACTCCCCTGTAATCATTTCATCCACATGTGACAACTATTTGTGATCCTGAGACACCTTCAAAAAGCAAAGTTTCTGCCACAAACCAACAGCAGCAGCTACTCACAACACAAGTGCTTCTCTCCAGGAGCGGATCCCCCATTAGATCTCCACGGAGCACAAGCCACCTCTCAAACTCTTAAACTAGCGGAGTTCACACGATCGCCCCACATGAATACAACCCACATGTTCTGCAGATAACGCAGGTGTTGATAGACTCGTTACGCGGTCTGGAAAGTGGAACGAGTTGATTTACATCAGCCTCAATCCCCATGAATAACATTAGCGCTTTACAGGGAGGGGTTGACGGGAGGGGTCGGTGCTCGTCGGCGAGTTAACAAAACAAACCCACCGGGGAGGCGCAGAGGAATATAAATGTAGGTGCTTATTACACACAGTAGCGTCAAAGAGACAGTTTCTCCGCTGGGAGCATCGCAGCGGTACAGATACTGTCAGATCGGAGGGTTTAATTACTGTGATTAGCGCGTATCACTCTGTGTACTACAATAC